TACATGTATGCAGGTCGATCGGATAGGAAGTGGTTGTGACGATCAAAATTGTCCAGCACGGATGATGATTTGGGAAAACTGGCCTGGTAATCAAGGCCGGTTTGGATAACTTTATCAAATTTCAAAAGAATTTCGTTATTACATTTCTCTTGTCGAGATGATTTAGATATGTAAATAAAACACTTAATTTAGAGTCTGAATGAGAGAACCACAGCTTCGGAAGTATCGATCCAAGCCTCCAAAACCGACCATAACCCGAGTTAGGAGTTGTATGTTGGCATGGAATTTATTTGAGTTTCGACTCCTATAAGGAGTTTCGACTCCTATAAGGACAAGCCACGTTTGATTGAGAAGAATCACTATAACAAAATAGATTTTTGGAGATAGCCTCATTTATTTACAAAAGGAGGTCCAAAATTATCAAGTCTCCTAAAATACCTAGTGAACTTCAAAGGCAGCGGTTGTTCTATTTTGGGAGATAGTTCACCTCTGTAATTTTATATTTACATAGACCATCTTGTTGAGGAAGGGGAACAACCCACTTCTGCGAATCAAAAATCCCCATTTCAGAAAAAATAATAATAATATAGTAGTGAATATTACTTTTTAACATATTTTCTTCTTTGGCCTATTTTCAACCCCTACTTATAGTTAATCTGACCCGATGGCCAGAGATGGCATTCTTCACCAAGTAAGTATGATAATTACCATTCTTTAGCAAAACCCCTAGGAAACCGGCCTGACCAGTTCATGCAGATTCATGCCAAAACGATCCTTTTGCAATCCATGTGTTCTAACACTTAGGTTTTGAGGCTAGATTTGAGTCAACACACTCTTTGGCAACTTTACTGTGTAACGATTGTTTCGGCTGCACCTTGCAGCCAATTTTTCTTCCCTAGCCAATTGCTTAATTCTTTTATCATCTTGTATATGTCATTACCATTGCATCAGACCAAAGTATCGGTTACATCTGTTCTTGGTCACTTGTGTTATTGCTTAATGTCGTGCTGCGTATTACTACTACTATTGTGAAGATCAGCATGGATCAATCAAGAGTTCGATTTGACCATAGAAGAGTACCGAGGTGCTGCACTGTAATATTACTATAACAAGCCTATGGTACAACCTGCAAATGTGTTATATGCTTCTAATAATTACGTGACAAGTAACATGAATTCTCACGTTGGTGTTGCTAGCATAATGATAATAGGCATATTAAATTGGCTAAATTGGTATTCATAGTGCAAACTATAATTCTTGATTGTATAATATGCAAAAGCCAATGCCAACTATGTATACTTCAAGTATAAGTGCTACTAGCAACATATATCATGCACAAGTATGTATACGGTGTTGCTAAGTTCTCCTAAAACTCCAACAAGGTGCCGAGCTAGTCTTCTGGTTCGTTTGTATAATGAGCCGTAATGAGCTGAGCCATAATGAGCCGAGCTATGACGAGACGAGTCATAACGAGCCGAGCTGGCTCAAAATCTAGCCCTAGGCATCGCCTAACCACTTCGTCGCACGCACCCAATGTTCCACTTCGCGGCCCAGTGGTCTTGATTGGTTAGAAATGGCCCATGTTCGCACGTGGGAGAAAACCGAAGCTGGCCCAAGTTCAGTATCCCAAACCTGTCCAAATTTCCCTTCAAAAAAAAAAAGATTAAGTCCACTTTTGGCCCCTCAACTATTGTGTTGGTCTAATTTTAACGCTCAACTACAAAATAGTCTAATACCGGTACCCCAACTGTCAAAACCGTTCACTTTTAGCACCTGAGCGGAGGCAAGGCTATTTTGACCGACGTTGAGCGGTTTTGACCACGCCACACTGGCGTTGACCGCCACATAGACGCGCTGGCCTGCATCTCGGCGACATGTGGGGCCCACGCGTCCACCCACTCATTCCTCCCTCTCCTTCCTCCAGCTCTAGCAGCTGCTTTGCGCCCGCGCCGCCCGCCGCCTCACGAGCCCACCCCCACGCTTCTCTCTCTCCCTCACCCACACCGCACACCACCGCTCTCTCCTCTCCTCCCGAGCACCACCTTCTCCTCTGTCTCTCTCTCCCTCACCGGCGGCCGCTCACGTAGGGCCCTCTCTCTCTCCCTCACTGGCGGACACTCTCAATCTCCTCTCGCGCAAGGCCCTCTCCGACGCGCCCCAGCGGTGGATCGAGTCGTGGCGGTGGATCGGGGGCTTGGCCATGGCGGATCGAGGCACAATGGCGAGCACAGATCTGCCCTGTCCACCTCCCGCGCGAGGGCGGATTGAGGCGCGACATGTGGTGAGGGCGGATCGGCGCGCTGCATGGCGCGGATCAGGAGGCTGGCGTTGAGGGCGAATCGCCCCGTCCACCTCGGGCGAGGGCGGATCAAGGTACTGGCGTTGGCTGATCCGGCAAGCTTGCGCATGGAAAGCCTCACCGGTGACCGCGCTGCGCGGGATTGGATCCCGCGGCGCGGCGTGCAGGCTTCGGTGGGCTCGTGGGGCTGCTGTTGGAGCACGCGCGCAGGGCCCCCACGTCGCTGGACGAGCAGGCGGCCGCGCCATGGCAGGCTGCTGGAGCTAGAGGAAGGAGAGGGAGGAATGAGTGGGTGACGCGCTGGGCCCCACATGTCGCCAAGATGCAGGCCAGCGGCCCCCACGCTATGCGTCAACGTGTGCAGGTGGTCAAAACCACTCAACGTCGATCCAAAACAGCCTCACACACGCCTAGGTGCTAAAAGTGAATGGTTTTGTAGTTGATGGTTAAAATTAGACCAAAACAATAGTTGAGGGACAAAAAATGGACTTAATCAAAAAAAAATGTCCAAACAACCTTGCATGATCATATGCTCCTGGTGTGTATGTAGGCCTACGACAACGACAAATGAGGAAGCAGTTGTATCCATCCAGGGCTAAATCGCAGACGTCGGTTCAGAAGTTTGAGAAGCCGCATGTCGACCGCCACTGATGATCCAATGAGTCTTCACATGTCATCACTATGATGTTCCATGAAGAACTACTAGGAAGTTAAACCACATGATGCATGTTATCAAATATACAATTAGAGCTTAAATTTTATTTTTTTGGGAAATTTACTGTCCATGTCTCCATGGTTAAGCAAGAAATTGCTAGTGAGGGAACATTTTTTTTGCAGTTTGCACGGTGGGTTGCATGGTAATCCATGTTGCACTATATATGGGTTTGTCTTGGTTTGCATCCTCCATTTTATATTTGGCCCAACTTCACATTTTATGAGACCATGTAAGATTCAGACAATTTTAAGTAAGGGAAAAGAGGTAGAGCATAATTTTAGGAACAATAGGAAACTCGTTTCATTTTTCTCTAAGTATTCTTAAATGCATGTTTATTCAAAAAAATATTTGGATTTTCTTTGAAAACCTATTTCTACAATTTTTATAACGTTGGCGATTGTAGGTCACCAGAACGCTAGAGCTTGCCCCGAGGTCTGCACCTCCTCTAAGGCACAGTCTTATCAGTGCTTGGCATGGTTTGACCGCCAGCCCCGTGCAGAACGGGGTTTCTTTGTATGCGAGCACGTTTACTCTCCGGTGATGCACTAGAGTGTCGCTCCAGATAAGGATGTTTTGCATGTGTCTGAGGCTTACGAGCACCAGAATTCTCCAATGGTACACCAGACTTTTGTGAGAATCTTTTAGCTACCCGTTTTCTTACCTTTGGGAGATGGCCAGTCGGACCACTTTGGGGCTGGTTGGACCACCAGGTTTGCATCTCATGGGAAGAAGAGGGATAATGACTAGTTTTGGTACTCTCTATATATAGAGGAAGTGGTCGGCTGTGGAGCTTCTCTTGTCCACTTGGAAAAGTTGTATAGTTGGTGAGAGCTCTATTTCTACTCCTCCGTAAGAGTGCAACATTTGGACAGTGGAGAGATCGATTGAGTGGCATTAGGTAGTTGATTTGCAAGCGGGTTTGCTTGTCACTCTTGGAGCTTGCTGACTCCTAGACGACTTAGAGTTTGTGGCTCTATGGAAGCACCGTGTGGTGATTGTGCAGTTGCTTTGACAATTGCTTTTGAAAGTGCATCCAAGTCCCCTAGTGGGTTTTGGTGGTTAGATGACAAAACAATTAAAGAACTAATTAGTTTGGTGAGTGCTTGAATAGGTTCCATTGCTAATGAGCATATCCAACTCAAGTCATGTACTACATGAAGAAGAAGCAAGCATGATTGATAAGGCAAAGAGAGAAAGGGAAGAATATAGTTTGATCTCAATAGTGGCTTTGCTTTGCATGGACAAGAAGAGATTGATAAGTTAATTGGTATTGATCAAGTATCGAAGAATGAGTCAAGAATGCATGAGTGAAGAAATTTCAAGATATATAATGGATATAAGATGATCTCAATATTGCTTTGATTGTATGGACAAAGACTTATAAAATCACTATGCATTAGTACTGATCAAGTTGGAAGAAGGAAAGAGAGAAATGCTATTTATATGCAAATCCAACTTTATTCCTTGCTAATGTCAAACGCATACTCTTTTTTTTTATATATATGACTAAATCATGCGGAGTACATTTGCCAAATGTATACGTCTCTCCTCTGTTAATGATTAACATATGTGGTTGCCTAATTCTACTGTCTTTGTTAATGGTTTTCATATTTGAAATCTTTTGTTCCCACCATTATGTTTGAATCTTGTTTTCATGATTGTAAGCTTTTTAGAAACTAAATATGAGATACTTAGAACCACCAATGTTGGCCAACGGAATGCATATACAATATATAGATTACATGTCATCGTCATTGGAGCACGAACATTTTACAAACTAAACAAAGCTACTGACAAGATTTATGTGCCTCACCAACATTACAAAGCCATATGTAGTTCATGTGTCTAAAAAGGTCCAGCTTATCTCTTCATCTATTTTTGCTTTTCTTTGGATCAAATAAGAATACATCAAGTTCAATAATTTGATGAGCCATAGGCTCAGTCTTGCAACGTGGGTACCGAACTCCCCAGATGGCATTTTCCCCTCTAATAATAAAGAGCAGATGGTGATGGAGCAATTGAGGTGTCCTTGGATCTCCGGCTTATCCGGCTTAATAAAAAGATGACTTGAAAACCTAAAGAACCTAGGAAACTTGTAGCTGTAAAAAGTTGTAAATTGAGTACGGTAGCTTTGGCGAACGGATACTGTCGTTTGACGTTGACATGCCTTCTTCCTTTCCAGTGAAACCTCCAAATCGTGCGCAACCTCGTCGCAGGCCCGAGCCACGTCGTGATACATATTTGCACGACAAGGATGCACGTGTACACAACTAGGAACCCGTAAGTGAGTGCCCTTGTTGTCGCCACCGAGAACAGAGCCGCCTGGAAGGCCAGCATCATGCAGACGAGCGACACCCACAGGAGCTGCAGCGCCGCCGCGAAGGTCTTCCACGAGCCGGCGGAGTGCGACGACGCCTTCCCATAGACGAGCAGGACCAACGCCAAGACGGACGTCGCCACGGCGCCGGTGTTCAACAGCAGGAAGCTCTTGAAGACGGTCTCGTCCTTGAGGGTCACCTTGCCGTCGTCGCCGTACCCACCGGGCAAGTTGAACCCGGCGGCGAACGCGGCGGCGACGATGAGGCCGGCCACCACCGTGAGGCTGTCCGACGTGTTCTGTATCCCTTCCGCACCATGTCGCGGCCAACCCACTGCTCCAGTTGGTCCTGCCTCTGCGGCCGGAGCTGTGCCCCGTAAGCGACTAGCGCGACCACCAGGCTTACCATTTTGAAGAAACTGATGGTTGATCCGGCGGCGAGATCAAACGCTGTGTGACCATCGTTGTTCGGAACATTGGCCCGCACCTTGCCGTTGTGTAGCAGATCCTCCACGATGCGGGTCGATCCCGCTGCCACCGCGAGGTGGAGAGGCGTGTTCCCCTCCCTATCCTGCGCGTCCAGGAGGCCGCGCAGCATGGGATTCTTGGTGGCGAGCAACACCACCGAGGAGCGCTTCTCCCGGGCCGCGGCGTGGACGAAGGTCCTGCCATTGCCGTCACGGAGCTCGGCGGCGTCGGGGCAGCTCCGTAGCATGTTCGTCACGACGTGGTGGTGTCCCATCCGCGCCGCGACGTGGAGAGACGACAGGCCGCTCGAGTCCTTCTTGTACACCGTTCCCGGCGGCCCGGCGCGCAGGATTGCACGCACGATGCTGCGATCGCCGTCCGACGACGCGAAATGGAGCGGGCTGCTGCCGCTGCAGTCGACTTGGTCGGCCAGAGCTGGCCTCCATTCCAGTAGCAGGTGAACCATTTCTGCAGGCAACGCAATAAATGATCAACACATTAGTTCACTGCATTATTTTTTCTTCCAGTAATACCATTAAGAATCCAACAAGCAACTAACCTGAGCTCTGGAAAACGGCAGCGTGCAGAGCATTCTGTGCGCTTGGCCCCATCGATGACGCGTCCTTGCACTTGGTAATAATTTCTCTGACTGCTGACACCGAGCCGCTAATTACAGCCAAGTACAACGGCGAGACGCCGGCGTTGTTCAGCTCGGCGCCCGGTTGTGCCGCCGCCGAGACTAGCACCTCCACCGCCGCGCGCCCGTGCCCGTGCCTCGCCGCCAGGTGCAGGGCCGTGTCGCCTGCCTCGTTCTTGCATCCCAGAATGTTCTCGCCCCCGGTCCCTGGCCAGCTCGACGAGGACCGCGACTGCCCTGGCGTGCCCAGCCCTCGCCGCGCAATGCATCGGCGTGTCCAGCGCCGAGTTCTGGCGAGAGAGGAGGCCCTGGTCCTTGAACCTGCGGTAGAGCTCCCGGATCAGCTCATGGTGCCCTTGCTCCGCAGCCACGTGTAGAGCGGTGTTCCTCTCCGCAGTCAACTCAAGTATGTCGCACTGACCGTGCATAACAACGCCTGAAACGGGTATTCAGGAAATTAGTACAATAACCGAATTCGTGTGTCAAATGACGAGTTCAATTGGAGCCAAATTCATCGGATAGGTTAGGGACCGGGGTTTTCGAGAGAGGAATCCTCAAGTCCCTACTTTTTGATTTGAGGGCCTCCTACTTTGAGGGCATGATTTTTTTTATTTGTTATAGAAGGAGCTCTCAAATCTATTCTAATAGACACTGGCACATGTGCTCAGTCATTCTCTATTCTTCCCTCCTAAGCTACACCAGTGTGTGTGTGTGTGGGGAGGAGAATAATGAGGGGGGGTGGATCCAACAATGTCTCTATACATAGAAAGGGAGTCGCTGGGGAGAGGCACGCCATTAGCGGAACCGAAGGGGAGGACGACAACAGGAGAGTGGGAGGAGTAGTCACTGGGGTAGGCCACACATAGCGTTGGGTGGGTGGGAGGGACGTAAGAAACAGCGCACCCCGCAAGAGGAGTGTTAGGAAGTGTAGCGAGTGCTCGAGCGAGCTTAGTTTCAGATAGGTCAGGGAGATAAATGACTGAAACTGAAAAATATGGGCCTCATCTAGATTCCCAAAAATGAGGTCCGATCCCGTGGGGAGAATTAAGAGCCTTCTATTTTTATGGGGTCTAAGTAGGAGCCTTGCTCAACCTGTGTTTTTGACCTGAGCTTTCAAAATATGGTTTAGGAGCCTGTTTGAGGAGCTGCTAGAGTACGTTACTCTTATTTGCTATTTCACTACCAACTCATCAAACAACTATCGCAGAAGCTTGCCGGTGCCTTAGTATTCAGCTCTTTCTTCCCTGTCTCATCTTTCACCCTTATTTGCTCCTAAGCCACCTACCGCGCAACTACGTGCTTTTTATTTTTGTGAGAATTATACAATTCTTTCCTTTAGTGCGTTATAACTAGATGATGATTATCATGGTAGCTCCAAAATGAGTCTCCAAAAGTAATATTAAGATTAATAATAACAGTCATTTTGCCTTGGTGCTTTTATTTTTTGGAAAACTTAAAATAAATAAAAAGGTTAAGATATAGAAAGATTTGAAATTTGCACAGTAGGTTGATGCAATTTATTTGTTCTCACCTAAAATTATAGATTTCTTTTATTTTAAAGAAAGGTGGTGTGTCCCGTATTTTTGTGGTAGTTGTGTCGCCGTGAAATCAGTTGTTGTAAGTACAAGTGTTCCGATAGAAGGCATCATGACGGGGACATGCTTGAAAGTCTCTTTGACGTCGTTGCTTTCCCATAAGAAGCCATCTACATTTGATTTGAATATTGACCGTTCAAACAGTCAACACAAAAGGCCCGCGGGCTGATGGTCCGGCCATGGCACAGGATTCTGGCTCGGCCTGGGTATGGCACGGTCTGGGTTAGTATTTCTTGCCTAGCGTCGTGCCGTGCCGGCCTGACCCCCATCGAGTCGTGCCCTCTATCCCGTACTATGTTAGGCCGAGCGACGCATTTAATTTGGTCATTTATGCATGGGTGTCATACCATGCACTACATGCAGTATTTACCGACACAGGTACGTGGCTAGAAAAATCTGCTTGGACCAAACAACACTCTCAAGCATCCAATTTTGGATGTCTGGGTCAGTATTTCTTGCCTAGCAAGGCAATGCCTGTCACATTTCCATACAAACAAGCCCGGATTCTATAGATCGTGCATAGTTGAATAGTCAACGATGTGACAATAATGTCCTCCAAACAACTTCTCCAAATTTTGGCTATGGACAACTACTCCATATTCGTTTTGCTGAAATTTGACTTATGCTGATTTGTTGTGAGAGAAAAACATTATTCGTTCGCTGAAAAGTACTGTTGAAGTAGTACCGTGGGGTATACACTATGTCTCTAGATATATGTAGTAAAAAATCATATCTATACCTACTAATAAAGAGACAAAATTTCTAGCCATTTTTTTTTTCTACATCCATTTTTTTTCGTCCACCTCCCCTAACTACCGGTAGTCGAGAGTTTCTTCCGTCTAGACTTATATGACCCTAGATAATTTGGACAAATAGATCTCTCCAAGCCTGAATAGGAATAAGAATCCTAATTCAAATAAAAATCTTATTTTACTTTCTATATAGCAAAGCGTCTCTCTCAACCTGACTTTTTACTTCCTGTAACATTTTTTTCCTCCATCTCTTTTTCTAGGATGATCTCCTGTTCTGTTTTTTGTCCGATTTTCCATAAACAATCACGGTTTCTTTTTTCTTTCCTCCATCTTTATTTTGTATGTATGGTTTTTGGTTTTACCATTATCATCGTGTGTGCGTCCACACCGTTTTTCTCGTGCTCTGGTTTTGTGTGTGCGGCCGCCGAGGTCTTTCCTTTGAACAGACGGGATGAGATCGAGTTCTACTTCGATGCGTGTGCACCGAGCTAGAGCCAGCATCCATGTCGTCGGCAAACGCCAAAGCATTAGCGTGATAGAGTCGACGTGTGGGCACATGTCACGAGACGACGAGCGATCTCCTCATCGAGATCTTCTCGCATGTTCGGACACCAAAACCATCGCATCCGTCCGTGCCACTGACCACGAGTCTGACCGTGAGGATCTATTGTATTGCTCGTCATCGGTGACGCCGGGTACTCCTTCCAGCTTCTCATCGCCGACCGAAACTTGGTGACGAGGATCTTCCTCTCGGAGCACGGCGAGTGGGACGACGTCATCCACAACCACCCCATACCGCTCAACTTCCTCCCTACCGTCCCCATCCTAAACCGTCTCTTGTCATTGGAAGCCACCACCATCAATTAGCTTAGCTGTGCAAGGAACGGGGTGTCATCGTCCTGGATGTCTGCACGGCGAGGGCCACGTGCACGTGGTCATCGAGTTGCCACCCCAACCCAAGGCTTCAGGCAGGTGAGGTCGCCGATGCTCCAAAGACATGGACAAGGGGCCCCTAGCTTCCTGGATCGGTGAATGGAAGGCTGAGCCCTGCTCTTGTCACTGAGTCATGTGTCGTAGATATGTAGTCGCTGTCAGCGTCATCGTCAGAGACGGCGAGGTGGACTCGACAGGTACTGATGATCCACAGGCAGGCCATCACCAGGCAGTGTCCGGGCTGCGCCGTTCGGTGAGCGGAGAGGCACCGTGGTGCGGCAAATAGAGGGAGTGGAGCTTGCTAGATCGACCTATGATCGAGACAGGCATGCGTCCTCAGCGGATGAACTAACGAAAATCGGCGAGCCCCGCTACTTGCTGTTTGTTTGCAGTTGTGCTTGACCAATCAAATTATGAACTGAAATCTTAAACAGATTGCCATCGGTCCATCCGGTCTAAATAAATTTGTCTCTAAACTATACATAGTGCAAACCCCAATAAGGGTTACCATATGAAAAAATCAAGAGATGCCTCTCGTTGTAATCAGACCATTGATTATGGATCCACAAAGAAAGTCATGGAACTCAATATTTAACTATATCAAAGCATAAGTAGTATGAAAATATCTCTGTGCTTTGTAACATAAAAATATATCAACATTATATTTTAAATTTGATACAAACTTAGGGGCATTATCATATTATTTGCTAACATTGGTCTGTATTATGGATGATATGATAATCTTAAAATAAATTATAGCTTTTAAATTTTATATAAATGGTAAAACATAAATATAGATATGTACCGTTCCTTTTGTTTTCATGAATATTTTATAATTTTTTTCTCTCGTTGCAACACACGGGCATATTTGCTAGTACATCTAAAAAAGCCAAAAATGTCTTATAATTTGCAACGATGGGAGTAATATTTAGCTGCTAAAAATTAGTAAGATTTTGTTTGAATTCTCTCAGCTAATATGTCAGGCTAGTGCGACTCAATGTAAACGGATGTGTGAGCACTAGTGGCTTCAGAACACCCAAATCTTAATTTGTTACCTTTCCTTCTATGCCAACCTACCATTCATTAATGTATTATTCCCTTTGTTATGAAATATTAGGGATTCAACGTTCAAAATTTGTACCAAATATAAGGTATTCTAGGTCTCAATCATCCTCCCCTCTATCATTTGTCTTTTTACCAATTTTTTTGAGTCTTTTAAACTAAACATCACCTAAAATAACCAGCTAGTTATTATTGGCCAGGACTCAAATTCAAATATTAATTCTTGGAGCCAAATGAAGAATATGGAAGCAGACAGAAAAGAAAAAAAAAAGGTTTAGGTCTGTTTCGTTAGTTACCAGTGGCTTGACAGTCTATATAGCGGCGTGTTGTTGCAGAAGCAGCGCCGTGACCTCGGCCATCCTCCCTTCAGAGGCGGCGCGATAGAGAGAAGGGCACATGTTGCCGACGACCATGCGCTCATGGTCACATTGCGGTGGCTGCTGCATCGGCGGCGGCGGCGTTGCCATTGCAGGCGAGCCGGCAGGCGAAGCACCGGCGGCAAGCTGGATGGACTGCTGCTGAGGATCCATCCGGCCTGTGAAAGCGGTTGGCAGCTCGCTGCGCCAGGCGAGAGTGGGAGGTATATATATGGTCATTCTTGCGGAATGGTCTTTCTTAAGGAAAGTATGTTGTAGATGCATGCAGACAAGTCGTGTGGCTCCTTGCAAGATGGCAGATGGACATGGACTGTCCGGCCGGCTAAAAGTCACATCAAGAAGCTACTACGCAAGTAAGGAGTTGTCCACGACACTACGCATACACACATCAACAATTCAACAGTCAACAATGTGATGAACTGAAACACTTGCACGATAGATCTCTTATATGTGTTGTTGATGTTGAGGCCAAGGAGTAAGAACGTTAGATAAATTATATGTGCATAAATATATAGTAGCACAATTAATGTGACATTTTGAGATGGAGCATTATATGTGCATATATATAGATGAATCTCAATAGGAACCAATAAACAACCTTAAAAGAAAGTATATATATATATATATATATATATATATACTAATTTACGATAATATCAATACATATTTACGATAGTTGGGTTACTATAACACATGGAGATATTTAGCATAATGTTATAGTAAACTACTTAGTAAGGAGTTACTATAATCTCGTAAATTAACATTAACATAGTAATTATCGTAACTCAAAGTGACTTAAGTTATTTTGTAGCCAGCTACAGGATACGTGTGACTAGGAAGCGTGTCAAGCGTAATATCACTGGACGGTCACATGAGACCTTAGATTCATTCATGGATGCTGCGCGTACGCCCAAGTCCGTCGCCGTCGCCACACCGTACCGCGCGTGGCAGCCAAGTTACTGCATGGTCAATAAGTACTAGTCTGCTTAGCTTAGGTAGAGAAAAATGACGTACCGAAGAAAAGTACGCCGGTAGCCACGCGTGCCCGTGTGCATCGCATGGCGGCATGGCATTGTTCAGACACACGGCCATGCGTGCACCACAACTACAAGCACTGTTCGCCGGTAGCCACGCGTCCCTGAGTGATAGATGTTATTCCTGAAGCTACATGTATGCAGGTCGATCGGATAGGAAGTGGTTGTGACGATCAAAATTGTCCAGCACGGATGATGATTTGGGAAAACTGGCCTGGTAATTAAGGCCGGTTTAGATAACTTTATCAAATTTCAAAAGAATTTCGTTATTACATTTCTCTTGTCGAGATGATTTAGATATATGAATAAAACACTTAATTTAGAGTCTGAATGAGAGAGCCACAGCTTCGGAAGTATCGATCCAAGCCTCCAAAACCGACCATAACCCGAGTTAGGAGTTGTATGTTGGCATGGAATTTATTTGAGTCACTACGGGAACAGTTACTTCGGCAAAGCCCCAAATACATTCGGCAAAGACTGTGCTGAGTGAACACTCGGCGACTAGCACTCGGCGAATTTTCCACCGACAAATAGATGTTTGCCGAGTGTCAAATATTGGGCACTCGACAAAAGGTTTGACGAGTGTCAAAAAACACTCGGCGAAGTTAAACCCTCGGCGAAAAGGGGGTTAACGGCGTCCACGGTAACGGAGAGTTTGCCGAGTGTCAGACGGAAGACACTCGGCAAACATCTTCAACTTTCCCGAGTGCCAAGCCTCCGACACTCGGCAAAGAGGGGTCACCTCGCACCATTTTACTATGTTTTTGCCGAGTGTTAAAGCCAATACACTCGACAAACATCTACGTTTTTGCCGAGTGTTTTGGCTTTAACACTCGGTAAACATTGCACACTCGGCAAAAAATTGCCAGAAAAACAGAAACTGGCCTCTTTGTCGAGTGTTAAAGCCAAAACACTCGGCAAAGGATCTCTTTGCCGAGTGTTGCACTTGGCAACCTGTCCAAAACCCCCCTGTTTTTACTGTTTTGTTACGTATAAAGGACCCCTCTCCAACAAAAATCACAAGCATGTATATTACATCACAGGCATATATTAAGCATCACAGGCACACAAATAAGTTCTAGTTTATTCGAGAAAGTAATCCACAAGTTCTAGTTTAAACAAGTAATGCACAAATAATCCACAAGTCATTGAGGAGGAGGCCCTTGGAACCCACTGCGGTGATCCGGGTCTTGTGGTTGAGTATTTGAAGCCGCCAATTGATTCTGCACATAGGAAAAGACATGTGTGAGACAATATTGATATCATCTGAGCTAACTAAGGAACTTGTCTAAGTTAAAGTATTCAATCTAATGTGTCAAGTGACTCACAGGAGTAGTTGTGGGTGGCTGACGTGAAGGGAATAGCATCGGTGGCGGTGGCAAAGATTGACCCATGCTCGAAGCAAAATTCTGCATGTATTGGAACATCTGGTCCATCCTCATCTGATTTTCTTCCTACATCCTCTGCCGCTCGGCCTCTAATCGCTCCACCCTCGCCTCCATCTCCTCCCGTTGCTTCTTTTCTGCTTCCACCTAGGCCTAAAATATTTCATCGCAATGTTACAATGCAAAGCAATGCAAAGCTAAAGTACATAAGAACCAACGAATGATGAATGGAAGAGAAAGAACCTGGAGAGCCTCTATCTGGAACTGTGCAGTGGTCGGCCGTGGGCGTATCGCTGGGCTCGAGCCCGTGCTCCTTGCTCGGATCTGGGAGAGAGTGGGAGTAGAGGCCGTGTCGATTACGGTGTCGCCAATCCAATACCGACCATGCTTCTTGCCTCCTCCGAGAGTGTGTAGTGGGTTTAGTTTCCATGCTCTACTCTTATCCGAGATAGAATTTCGACAGCACCTCCCCGCTGTTCTCCAAATACACGTCCCGGAAGGGAGTGTATTCGGAGAACAATAGGGAGGTGCTGCCGAAACTCTATCTCGGATCGGAGTAGACAATGAAAACTAAACCCGTTAAACATTGGGCTTTCCAAAAAATGTGGACAATTCGAAATAGATACGGTTATAGATATGCAAAAATTTGCATATTTTTAACCGTATCTCTTTCGAACAGGAGACGCCTAACTAGGTTATGAGATATATGAACATCAAACTAAAAAGAGGTGTATGATGCCTCACCTTGCTATCCGACAAAGTGATGAGAAGGACGGTCCTTGTGAGTCTCTCCTGCAAGAAAATGAACATAGTAGTGTCAAGTCGAAATTTTGGTAGCACCTCCCTTGCACGGGGCGGTTTCCCAAACCTGCATCAAATATAACGGTACGATGGCCGATAACCACATCCACACCAACTGAACGACACGATGGCCGACAACCACATATAGCTCACAAGAAAGCACATAATTTATGGTTTATCCTTTTCTAATTTCTAAAAAAGTCATATCATCTCTATAGACATCCTACTACCTCTCAATATTCTCTAAAAAGTCTATTTCTATCACTTTCTAATTTATTTTCTAATTTCTAATTCATCCTACCTTTTATAATTTCTAATTGCTTTTCAATTTTCTAAGTTATTTTCTAAATCAATTTTCTAATTTCTAATTTCGTTTCTAATTAACTAGAACAACAAAATTGAAGAATTGCTTTCTAAATTTCTAATTTCTAATTTCTAATTTCTAATTTCTAATTGCTAATTTCTAATTTCTAATTTCTAATTTCTAATTTCTAATTTCTAATTTCTAATTTCTAATTTCTAATTTCTAATTGTTAAATTTCTAATTGCTAATTTCTAATTTCTAATTTCCAATTTCTAATTTCTAATTTCTAATTGCTTTTCAAATTTCTAATTTCTAATTTCGTGTCTAATTAATTAGAACAACAAAATTTTAGAATTACTAGGGCCAGGCGTGGGCGTGCATGACCGGGATGGTCGAGCCACCAGGCGTGGCGCGACCGGGCCGGGAAGGCGCCGGTGGGGGGGCGCCACGGTGGAGCCACCTGCGGAGCATGGCATGGCCGGGCCGGGAGGGCGGCGCGAGAAGGAGGCGTGGCGCCGGGTGGAGCTGCCATGAGCAGGCGGTCAAGCCACCGGGCCGGGAGGGCGCTGAGGCTCCGTGAGGGATGGAGCGGATGTGGGGGCGGGACGTCGGTGGGGGACGTCGGCGAGGGCACCGGCAGGACAGGGTCGGGTGGTCGCGGTGTGTGTCTATGGCGTGTGTGCGTTGTGTGCGTGTGTGTGTGTGGCGTCTGGGTCGTGTGGGTTAAGCTGTTAGGGGTATGCCGAGTGCCCGCGATCCGGTACTCGGCATACCCTTTTTATTTTTCAAAAGGTCTACTACTTTGGCGGTGGGCTAGCACCAGATTTTTGCCGAGTGTTTTGTAGAAGACACTTTCGGCAAAGAGTTACTATCGAGTGTTATATAGAAACACTCGCAAATTACGCTAATATTTCATGTATACCTTGAATAGCTGGTTTTAGTAACTTTTTTTCCTATATATTTTGAAAAAACTTGTCAAATTCACTCAAAAATGCATATTTGTTTTTTCTACTAATATTATTTCATTATTTCATGCAGTTATAGCTCAAAATTAATTTATATCAACTAAAATTCTATAATTACAATTAATAAATAAAAATATCAAAGCGGATCCGAAAAATTGTCAAAATTTGACATGAACCAATCTATGTTGTGTATTGCCTATACAAAAATTTTGAACTCAAACCCCAATTCACATGTCACTTGGACTCTAAATCTTACCGGATCCTTCTAAGTTCTACGAATCTTCTCCGGAGATGCTTCCGTTTGTAAGCATCATACATCACAAATTGTGCGAAACATTCTCAATTTTTTACCACAGCCTCCACATATGATATCATGACATCTTGGCAAATCTCGTGATTTTGAGACTTCGTTTGGTTTTGTAGAATTTAAAATCATTCGGACACACGTTAAGTGGTCGTGTGTTTCTGAACAAAATGTTCGAAATTTCTTTTCATTTTTCTGCATGAGACATAAATCCGGACTCAATGACATGAATATGATTTTTCCACTCATTTTATTCTATTATTTCAATCACTTGCAGTTCAAATTTCACTTAAATCA